TGAAAAGGGTTTAAAGGCAATCATTGATTAAGGTTTCTGGTGGGTGGGGGACGCCCCTCCCACATCTGACTTTGTGTATAAAAGACCCGTTGTAATTCCAATATCACACATTCACTTCTGCACTAGACTGGAGTCCAGTCTCTTTCTTTCTCTCTTCTTCCCCCCCAATTGCCGGCGCCGTCTTCACCTTTGGGGTTACCCTGAACTCGGCTGAAGCAGGACTCCGGCAGACAAAGGGGTGGGGATTGCCTGAAGACTGGCAGGAAAGGGAGCAGAAGGGACAATATTTAGAGCGAACTGCAGTGGCAGTGAGAAGGACTTGGGGGACAGAAAAAGGGTCGAAGGGGCTTGGGGGCGGAAAAGGGAGGCAGAGGCGGTGGGGAGGTGGTGGCAACGTTCAGTCTGGGAGCCTCCAAAGGGAGGGGACCAGACACCGTGAGGTGGCGGGGGCAGCTGACGGGTGCGTACAGGGATGGGCAGGAGGCGAGGCAGAGGAGTGGGAGTATGAGGAAGGGTAGAAACCAGGGCTGAGACTGGGCCAGGCCAGGGCCTCTAGAGAAAGCAAAGTGGGGAGTGGGACTGCAATCCACGGATTGATGGGGGGAGGCTGGAGGGAGAGGCTGAGGGTGGATGGGGGAGGGGGCTGGCTCTGGTGAGGCGTGTGGTGAGGAGGTGAGAAGAGGTGAGAAGTGGACTTAAGGCTTTGTGGAGAGTGGGGGGTGGAGCGGAGGTGGGAGGGGGGACGGCCTGGGGAGAATCTGGGTGGAAAAGGAGAGAACGGAGGCTTGGAGAATGGAGGAAATGTCGACCTGACATGGTGCGGAGACAGTGAGACTGGGAGCAAAATTTGGGAGGAAGGAGAATGGGGTGAGGGAGAGGATGGCAGAGCTGCACGGTGGTGGGCTCCGGGGTTTCCCTTTCCCCTGTGGAAAGAAGAGAAGAGTTCAGCAGCCTCGGATGCAGCCATTTCTAATTACCAGCTCCCTGCTCTTAGTAGGGTGGCAAGGGCAGAGGGAACGGTTGTGTGGGTCTGGAGAATTGGGGTTGGAGGAAGATTCAGCTGGATTTGCTTTCCAGAAGGCTCCCTTGTGTGCTGCTCCCTTAGTTTCCTGGTTACAAAAGGGAGAACGGGGAGGCTGATGTTCCCAAGCGTGGAGGAGCAAAGGACTTTCCTGGATTTTGGCCATGAGTAATCCAAGCATGGGGACACAGGTGTGGCTCTACTGGAACCCTTGCATGCTGAGGTGGAGGCCAAAAAATTAAAAAAAAAAAAAAACTGGAGGGGGGACAATAGCATAGAGAAGCAGAGACAGGAAGTCGAGAAGAGCAGGGTCTGGGTGCTCCAAACTGAGCTCTGAGAGGACAAAGAATGGAATGGGGACACCTGTGCCCCTTGTGTCCTGTGTTGGCTTGGCGTCCATCCCAGAACAGGTGTTCAGTCTGGACTTGCCAAATGAGTGACAAGATGAGCCGGAACCTAGATCGGATCTAATAGCTCGGGAGGGGCTGGTCCCGAGTGGGGGAAGACAGTAGACCTCCTTCCTTCAAGGTTAAAAGAAAGGAGGGCCAGCGGGGTCTATGCAAAGCAGCGAGGGGGTGCAAAGCAGGATGCTGAGGCCGTCGCCATAGGAGGTGAGAAGGAAGGCCCCATGCTGAGGGTGGCAGTGCGGGAGCTGGACTTCGGGTGTGAGGTGAGACGGTGACGGATGGGAAGGGGAACTTGTCAGGACAATAGCAAGGACTGTTGAGGGACTCAGTTGTGGACTGAATGTGTATGTCCCCTCCTGAAATGTACATGCTGAAATCCCAGCCCTCTGTGTGATGGAATTAGGGCCTTTGGGGAGGTAACAGGTCATGGGGGTGCCATCCTAATGAGTGAGATTAGTTCCTGTATGAGAAGAGACAAGGGAGAGCTTGCTTGTTCTCTCCCTCTCTCTCTCTCTCTCTCCCCCTCTCTCCTCCCTCCCTCTCCTCCCCGCCCCCATATGAGGGACATAACCAGAAAGAGTATCCTCCCGGGAACTGAGCCTGCCAGCACCCTGACCTTGGGCTTCCCGGCCTCCAGAACTGGGAGACATCAGCGTCTGTTGTTTAAGCCACCCAGTCTATGATACCTTGTTATAGCAGCCTGAGGCTGACTAAGACACACTAAGGCCAGAGAGCGTGAATGAACAGCGACAGCAGCTGTGAGTCCTTCTCCAGGGGTACTTGGCAGCTGGCCCTAGGCACAGAGCATGTAACGAGGATCCAGGCTCAGCAGGTCTCTGGCAGTGTGGCGACAGGCAGGCAGGGCGTGAGGGACTGGGCCTGGGGAGTGAGTAGTGGGGTGGACATGTGGGCAGGAGAGGACTGGAAAGGCAGAGGCCCGGATGTTGCAGCCCAAGAGTGAGACGCTGGAGTGGAGGGTTCTCTGCAGGGCACTTCCGGGTGATGGCGGAGCCCAGAATGGGTGTCTGTAGCTGGGAGTGAAGCAGAGGTGGCACGACTGAAATTGAGGAGGTCAGAGGTTGTAATCCTAGGGTGCAGGACTTGGGGCAGAAGAAGACTCTGACTTGGGTGCCAGGGACTTGGGTGAGTGCCAGCTAGGTGACCAGGAGAGGGCAGTTCCTCGTGATGAGGAGATAGAAAGGAGAAATCATCGAATCATATGAACCTTCAAGCAAGAGCCACTTTCATGGGGAATGGAGAAACACTGACCACACCTCCCAGCCTGTGGTAAACGGAGTTGTGGAAAATGAGCACCCGTCGCTCCAGCAGGCCGCTCTGTCCGTTTGGGATGGTGAGAGGGTGAGGCTGCAGCTTCCCTGGAGTTCTGGGAGCACAGCAGGACGGGGGACGGGGTGCATGAGGACGATGGAGAAGTAGCTGGGCGGCCAGAGAGCCCTGTGTTTGGGCACCTGCCAATGAGGACGGTGTCCCAGGGAATTCTGTCGAACTCTAGAACCAAGTCCGGTCCAGCCTCAGCGGCCCCGGCACCATGGAACCCAGGAACCAAGTCTGTGACGGGGATTCCCTGGCAGGGGATGGATATTAGCACACCCACAGAGCGGAGGTTCAGAATCGTGAGCCCCAAGATCGAGCTCGGCTCTTCCTTTGCCTTGGACAGCTGCAAGCCTTGCCTTTCTAGCAGGGGGATGGAGTGGGGTCTCCAGGACACAAAGAAGGAACGTGTCCTGGTGTGGAAGGCATGAGGAGAGACTGGGTGAGGGCACAGACTGTCCAAAGAGTTGAGAGGCTAAGGTGAAGCAGAGTCAGATGCCACCATGTCTTCGTGTGCCTGGCACAGGCAGGTGCGCCCACAGCTGAAGTTGCATGGATCCGTTGTGAAGACGTCACACGCCAGAGAGAGTCTAAGCCTGCAGAAGCGGTCAACTTTACAGGAGCTGTTGCTAAGCTCCCCTGGGGGAAGTAGCATGCTCGCAAGTCAGTGCTGGCCTCGCTGAGAAGTCCCTGAGTGAGCTCTTCTCCCTCCACTCCATCTGCACCTCTAAGCACCAGTCTGTATTGTATCGGTGACGGAATAGGTGTTTCCATCTGCACCTGGGAAGCAACATGTTTTTGAGCCAGAGTGGTCCACGTTCAGACTTCAGCTTCTTACCTACATGACTTTTAACCAAATCCCAGTTTCCTCATTCTCAAACGAGAATAATCATGACTGCCTTCTGGACTATAGTGAGGATGAAATCAAGTTTGCAAAGCATTTTGCAGGATGCTGGGCATGTGTGTGGTGTGTCCTGCCTCTCCTGCCTCCCACCCCAGGCCAACTTCCCAGGGCGTTGCCACTCAGAGGCTCCCACCACTGTGCCAAGTACCATGGGTCCAGCTCTCCACTCTCCCACCGTCACCAGGAGAGTTTCTTAAAATACAGGTCAGCCACGTGTGGTGGCTCATACCTGTAATCCCAGCATTTTGGGAAGCTGAGGTGAGAGCATTACTTGGGCCCAGGAATTCAAGACCAGCCTGGGCAACATAGACTTTGTCTCTACATTAAAAAAAAAAAAAAGCCAGCGTGATGGTGCACGCCTATAGTCCCAACTACAAGGAGACAGAGGCAGGAAGATTCCTTGAGCCCAGGAGTTTGAGGCTATAGTGCGCTATGATTGTGCCACCGTACTCCAGCCTGTATGACGGAGACTCCGACTAAAACAAAAAACAGCTCACTGGATTCATACCCAGGGTTTCAGATTTAGTAGGTCTGGGGCGGGGCTTTAGACTCTGCATTTCTAGCAAGTCCTCAGACGCTGCTAATGCTGCTGGTCCCAGGACCATACCTGGAGAGCTGTAGACTTGAAGGTGAGGTAAAGCAAAAAGCATGGCTCCCTGCTCCCAGCTCCTTCATCTCAGGGTTTCTGTATATATCAGAGCCTAAAGTATATACTCTGGATTTTAGAAGCCCCTCGATGGAGTGGCCTTTCATCTTCCCATGGCCCTTTCCCTTCGCCATAGGGACAAGCCACATGGATGAAGAGATGAGGGCATAGATACTTGGCAGTGACTGACGACACCAGATAATTTCTCTTGACTTTGGGATGCATTACATAAAATTTTCCTGCATTCGAGCTTCTCTTGCTAATTATGTTTTGTGGAAGCAAATGTGAGAATGGGTTTGCCTTCCCTGGATTCACAGCAGCGGCTTTAGGAAATGCCAGAAGGCAGCAGGAAACCCAAATAGGACTGAGAATGAGCCGGGGTAAATAAATACTCCACCGCCTTGCATGCTTTGGGTGATTGAGAGGCAGCCACTCTCACACACTGAGTCTTGTTGCACCGTGGGAGAGAGTCTTGAACTATGTCCCAGGGCATGAGCAGGGGTGTCCTCTCCCAGCTTCTGAGGGGTGTGATGGAGTCTTCACCTCTGATGATGGGTTGTGAATGAAGGGGTCGGAGTGTGAGGTTGTGTGAACTGGCACCATCTCCCCAGGAAGAAAGTGGGTGCCCTAGGAATACAGGCCACAGAAGCACAGTCCCGCCTGCGACCACCTGAGCTCAGTGTGTAGCTGGTGCCCACTGATGTTGGCACCTTTGGGCTGTAGAGCGAGTTCTTAACGGGCCCCGTTGTTACTTCCTTGCTCTGCCTCCCTTCCAGAATCCCAGGTTCCCAGGCAACCTCCAGATGAGTGACCGACAGCTGGACGAGGCTGGAGAAAGTGATGTTAACAACTTGTAAGTGGCTTATGCTCCACACCCAGTGGGGAAGAAAGCTTTTATGGGTGCTGTCACTTTTTATTATAGAGTCATGGAGAGCCTGATGGGAGGGGCAGTGGCTGGGGTGGGGGCAAAAGCCCCTGGGCGACTTGTCCAAGTACTTCATCTGGAACCCCTGCCTGGCTGTCTCACTCCCCAAGGCTGTCCTCTCTGTCTCACCCTCCAAACCCAACACTGGGCCCTGTCCTCTCCCTTTGCCACTCTCACTGTGGACTCTTCACCCTGCTGGATCTTCTCATGGGCTTGATACTCACTTGGGTGGGAAGGGAGCTAAGAATTGGGGATAGGATGTGTGTATGCACGTGTATGTTCATGCATGCATGTGTGCATTGGGGCTGGAAGCAGCAGCGCAGAGCATGGGGGAAGGGACAGGTAACAGACGGGCCTCGGACTGTGGAGTGTAAGCTCTCTTTCCTCTTGGGTCCAGTTTCCAGTTAACAGTGGAGATGTTTGACTACCTGGAGTGTGAACTAAACCTCTTCCAAACAGGTGAGTCTCTTTCCTCCTGTCTGCCCCAGGCTTTCATGGGAACTGCCTGATTCTCAACCTTGTTCCCTGCAAGTTATGTGGCACAGGGAACAGGGAAATGAAGATGTCCCACCCCATTTCTGCTTTCTTCATTCTTCATGCGGGGAGGGGCTGAAGCTCTTGGGTATTTTCTTGTCTTTTCTTTTCTTTTTTGAGTTGAAGTCTCACTCTGTCACCCAGGCTGGAGTGCACTGTCACTCTCACTTAGCCTCGACCTGCTGGGCTCAGGTGATCTTTCCGCCTCAGCCTCCTTCTGAGTAGCTGGAAATACAGGTGTGTGCCACCACACCTGGCTAATTTTTCCATCGCCCAGGCTGGAGTGCAGTGGCACACTAACAATCACCCCAGTGTCAACCAGCTGGGCTCTGGCAAACCTTCCACCTCAGCCTTCCAAGTAGCCGGAAATACAGGCGTGCACTACCACGCCCGGCTAATTTTTGATTTATTGTGGAGATGAGTTCTCGCCAAGTTGCCCAGGCTGGTCTCAAACCCTCAGGCTCAGGCAATTCACTGGCCATGGCCTCCCAAAGTACTGGGATTACAGGCTGAGCCACTGAGCCCGGTCCTAATTTTTTTATTTATTGTAGAGATGAGATCTCGCCAACTTGCCCAGGCTGGTCTCAAACCCATGGGATTATAGGGGTGAGCCACTGTGCCTGGCCTGAAATGCTGCTTTGTTGCAGCTAATATGCATGCTATAGAACATTGGTTTCTTTTTTGTTTTGTTTTGTTTTTGAGTTGGAGTCTCACTCTGTTGCCCAGGCGGGAGTGCAATGGCATGCTCACGGCCACCGCAGCCTCAAAACCTGCTGGGCTCAGGCGATCTTTCCACCTCAGCCTTCCAAGTAGCTGAAACTACAAGCATGTGCCACCAAGCCAGGCTAGTTTTACTTGATTTATTGTAGAGATGAGGTCTTGCCAAGTTACCCAGGCTGGTCTCGTACCCATGGGCTCAGGCAACCCTCTCGCTTCGGCCTCCCAAAATGCTGGGATTATAGGCATAAGCCACCACACCCAGCCTCTTGGGTGGTTTCATGTCTGAATAGAAAGTCCATACTTCCCCTCTTTTCTGGCCTCCCTCCTGAAACCTAGGCCTCCAAGAACCCGAAGACATGTCACTGGGCTGTGGCCAAGCCCTGGCCAGTCCTTTGACCCAGTCCTATGTGCTCTCAAAGCAGAGCTGGCTCTGGGACATGATTTCTGTTCAGGAGGACAAGCTTGTGCCTGCTGTGTAGTTGGCAACCGTGGGAACAAGTTAGTCAAGTTGGATTGTTGCCCAGGTTCCCATGAGAAGCCCATGAAGTCCTCTCCTATAGCAGGAGGAGTTGGCCACACTTCCAGGCTCCCTTCTGCTGGGAGTTCTGGTGCTCCAGACCATCAGCCCCTACCGCTTCCCTGACAAGCCTCAGCTGGTCCCTTTCTCTCCAGTGTCTCTCCTTTCTACACCTCCCAGCTGGCTCCTCTCCTTTCCCTGGGGGACATGAGAACCAATGTTCTAATATTCAAGCTGTTCCATGACAAGTGTCCAACTCTGAAAGAGTGTGTTCCACACTGGTGTCCATGCATGAGCTTGGCGGCCTTCTCAGCATTTGGGCTTGCAGGGGCCCACTCTCGGGCTTTGACTCTCACCCTCACCCTGAATTGCAGCTTCCTTCACTGTGTTCATTTGTGCCGCAAATGCTTTCTACTGGCCTCTTCTTTTCCAGAGTATTGTTCCAGGCCATACTAGACCTATGACAGAACAACACATCCTTAATACTTTGACCAATCAGTTCATTACAGGATGTGGTCAGATAAACACCAGAAACTGTTGGAAACCATGAATTGTAGGAAAAAGAATGTATGCAGCCTCCCAGCAACCTATATGAGCAGGGTGTCATACAAAAGTTAGTAGAGAGGTACAACTAAAACTCAATACAATCTCTGCCCTGAGGTGTTCCGAGTCTGGTTGAGATAAGTGGTGAGGGTGCATTTTTTTTTTTAATGCATTGGAAACGATTGCATAACCACATATGAACAAGTATACAATGTTGTGGCTAACCTTTCATCATTTGGATTTGGGTGAGAAACTTAGGTGCACAATTCAGAGTTCATTTACATTTGGCTTTGGAGTGTGCAAAATTTGAATGCAGGGATGAGTGAGAATCTGAGGATTTTCGACCTTGGGAAGCTGCAGTCTGGAAGTTGCAGCTCAGCCGAACTAAGCTCTCTTCCTGCAGCCCTGGCCTCTCCTTGGAGCTGGCTGCTGCAGTGGTCAGGGGACAACCCTTGGGCTCGCCCTGCCAGCTCCTGGTGAACCACAAGTAAGCAGAGATGGCAATGACACCCAAAAGGACTAGATTTGGCGGAGAACACGAGTGTGGGGTAGAGGTGGTCAGCTGTCATCCTTTTTGTCCCACATCTCATGACCCTCAGCTCTGGTTTTATGTGCATTGTTCATTTATATTATTACCACAAGATGCTGCGCTGCTCCCTAATATCAGGAACCGTGACCTATTTCTCTTTGAATTTCCTCTGTTCTAACCCAGTGCTTAGCAGGTGCTCAGTAGTGAAAGAATGCTTGCTTTAGAAAAACAGTAGTGAAGAAATAGGTGAGCAGAATTCATTAAATGGTGTCCACATCCAGCTTCATGCACTGGGAATATCTGGGTTAAACTACTTAGAGTCTTTTGGAATAAAGCTACCCATATTTAAACCAAAAGTCGTTGCAAAAAACCCTCTGTGGTCAAATGCCATGGATTTTCACCCCCAAAGAGAGCATTGATTTGGAACCCATCATTTCCTCTGTTCCATGTACCCCAGCCTCACTCCACACTCTGGATACCTGCATCTGAGTGTCACAAAAATCAAGAGAATTGAGCCAGGCACAGTGGTTCACGCCTGTAATCCCAGGACTCAAAGGCTGAAATGGGAGGATCATTTGAGGCCAGCTTGGACAACATAGCAAGACCCTGTCTCTTAAAAAAAAGAGAGAGATGGTGTGGAATAAGTCTCTTTAGTCTCTGAGTCCTGGTTTGTGACCCTGTAGGGTCTGACCAGCATCCTTGACACATGCCACTGGTTTTCAACACTGTGGGAAACATGGGTAAATTTTACTTAGCATGTATTTTGAACACTTCATTTTCAAAATGTAATTCCCAAACCAGCAGCATCAGCATCACCTGAGAAACTTGTTAGAAATGCACATCCATGGCTGGGCGCAGTGACTTACACCTGTAATCCCAGCACTTTGGGAGGCAGAGGTGAGAGGATTGCTTGAGCTCAGGGGTTCAAGACCAGCCTAAGCAACATGGTGAGACCTTGTATGTATAATAAATAAAAAAAATCAGCCAGACGTAGTGGTGCACACCTGTGGTTCCAGCTACTTGGAAGGAAGGCTGAGGTGGGAGGATCACCTGAGCCCAGCAGGTCGAGGCTGTGGTGACCATGAGCATGCCACTGCACTCCAGCCCGGGCAGCATAGTGGGACTCTGACTCAAAAAAAAAAAAAAAAAAGGAAAGAAATGAGCATCTGAGAATCCCAACCCAGACTTGCTGAGTCAGAGTCTCTGGAGGCAGGTGAGGCCCGCCATCCTGTGCTGTCCAGTAGGGTACCCACTAACCACATGTGACTATGTAAATTGTTAAAATTAAATAACATGTAAAAGTCAGGTCCTCAGTCGCACTAGCCGAATTTCAGACACATTTCAGGTAGCCACATGTGACTAGCATGGGACAGTTCATGTGGAACGTTTCCATCATTATAGAATTCTGTTGGACAGAATTCTGCTGCTCTGGCTGATTCTGATGTAGGCTAGAAAATAACAGTTTACACACTGGCTGCATATTAAAATCACCTGGAGGGCTTTTGCCACCTACTGACGCCCAATGCTACCCTAAACCAACTAAAACAGATAGCGGTGGGGGAGTTGCAGGCAGCCATTCGTTTTTCAGTTTTCCCTGGTAGCCCTAGTCAATCTCAAAGCCAAAGTCAAGAACCACTTGACAATGACGTGCACTTTACACAACATTCTCACTTAAGACTTCCTTCCAAGTGAAGTGTGTGCCATAGGTGCTTTACAGAAGACGGTCTGGGACCCACAGAGTAGTTGAGCAGCTTGTCCACGGTGACATTGCTCTAGATGTTACTGGGTGCCGAGGGGCATTCCTGGAAGGCATCGGGGCAGGCTGGGGGGTGGAGCAGTCTGTGGCTTCTTGCCAGAGTGGAGCCTGAGGAAGCCAGAGGCTTGGGGATGGCTGCCTTGCACTGACAGCTGCTTTTAATTTGTGTCAAGAAGAAAAGCTGCCTTTTAATTAGAACAGCTCGGGATTTTTTTTTTTCAGTTGCCAGACTAACCCAGTTATCAGGGATTTGTGCATTTGGGGAAGACAGGGCACATGCAGCCCTGGGCTTCCCTCTGGGCAGTGCACTCACAGAGGGACAGCAGGGAGGGTCATTTCATCCCCTGCCACATGTGGCGTCTCCAGAGGCAGAGGGCATCCCTGGCCAGTGGTGTGGGCTGAGCCTCCATGGCCAGGCCCCCAGCTGCTCGGTCTAGAAAGGGGAGGGGAGTAAGGGGGGAGAGTTCCCTGGAGCAAGAAATGGAATGAGCAACTTCCTCTATGGAACTCAGGAGGCTGGAGAGCAGCATTTCTGCTTCTGTTGACCAACATCCCAAGGGTCTCGATCAGCTTTTGACTCTGAGGGTTCGTCCTGCCCCCTAGCCTTTTCTCGGCCCTTGTAGGCACTCCAGTTGTCTTCCCAGAGCTTCTGCACATCCCTCCTTCCCCTGTCCCAAGAACCCTTGTAGTAAGCCACCTTGAATGGCTCCCTTCATTTTCTGATCAATGTTTGATATTTTCTCACACACGAACTGCTGCCGCCAACAGACTTTGTGCTTCTAAAGGTCAGGGATGGCCATCAGACTGAGTTGATGCATGAGCGGGAGGGCTGGATTGGCTCTCTTGACGGCCTCTCTCAATCCTGGAGTTCTGCTTCTCCATAAAACAGAAGGCTCTCAAACAATAACCCATCTTCCTATTAAATTGGAAACTCTAAAGATGACGTATTCGCTTTCTAATCAGACTGAGAAGGGACTAGGACACTCGTCAGAGTCAGGAAGGAAAGGATTCTCCTCCATGCTAGGAACTCTCCCAAATGCTGAGCAAAGCAAGTCTCTTCCTTCCCAGGCCGTCCCGGGGCTCTGCACAAAATAGCGACACCCTGGTTTACCTGCTCATGGTACATTGAGCATCTTGACTCTCAGAAACGAAGGCACGTGGTCTGGCCATTGACTTTTAACTCACCAACCTCTCAGCAAAACCACTTCTTGGCTTTGTGACCCCCTTAAAATTACCTTTCATCTCCTTACCTGTATCGTGGAAATACCTTTACTTATCTCATAGGAGTGTTTCGAGGGTTAAGTGAACGAGGTGAGATCAGACACGCACAGATGAGGTATATGCTCAGCCCCTTTGCTTCTCTAAAGAGGTCATCTGTACTTTCCTGGCTCTACCATCTTCCCCTCCCCTTTTATTTCCTAGTGTTCAACTCCTTGGACATGTCCCGCTCTGTGTCCGTGACCACAGCTGGGCAGTGCCGCCTCGCCCCGCTGATCCAGGTCATATTGGACTGCAGCCATCTCTATGACTACACTGTCAAGCTTCTCTTCAAACTCCACTCCTGTGAGTATGCCGGGCTGAATCTTCAGTGAGATTCAGGATCACAGCCTGAGGATGTCCCCGGAGAAATGCAGCACCTCTCAGTGCCCTTGGCTTTCTGCTTTTGTCCCAAAAGACCGAGGCGCGCCCGACCATGAGACTAAAAGAGCAGGGTCCGGGCTTTGGTGTGTCTCGTGAGGCACCTGGTTTGCCATGGTTGTGTCCCAGGAAGGTCCTCTTTGTCCACCTGTCCGTTGCCATGCATCAAGCATGTCATGTATTCTAAGAAGCACACAAGTAACAGCAGACCTGCCCTACAGCCACGTGACCTGAGGCCGTGATTTCCAAACCACGCATCAACACAGTCCTTTGTACAAATGGAATTTTATGGAGAAATACAAATTATGAGACAGAGCTGCTCATTAAATGGAGAGCTGTTCCTTACCTAGCTTCAGATCCCAGGGGTGCCCTTAGCAGAATATATTTTAGAAACTACTGGTCTTGCAGAAGTTCTTACACTTGTGTGTGCCTCTGGCTTAGAATAATGTGTCTGGGCCCTACTTGTCTAAATTAGTAAGTCTGTTAGGGTTCAGAGTCTTCGTATCCCCGGATAAATCTGATATGGATGGTCCCTGGACCATACTATGAGGTAGTCATCATGAAGGATGTACACATACAGAGCATGTGGATGATGGGAAACCAAGAAAAATCAAGACGTAAGTAGATAATAGATTCCACGGCACATAAGGGACAAGGATGTTCTATACTTCCAGAAGTATAGGACAAGGGGTACTCTATAACTGTGGCCATTGACAAGTAATGAATTTGGCTATTTAGACAGGACAAGAGAAGCAGCATCACTGATTAATTCAGGATGGTTTTGTGGAAGGGAGTTTGGAGTCTGCTGTTCAAGAGCCCGGCGTGTTGGTGCATGCCTATAATCCAGCACTTTAGGAGACAGGGGCGGGAGGATTGCTTGAGCCCAGGAGTTCAAGACCAGTCTGGACAACCTCATCTCTACAAGAAATTAAAATTTAGCTGGGTGTGGTGGTGTTCGCCTGTAGTCCCAACTACTCAAGAAGCTGAGGCAGAAGACTCTCTTGGACCCAGGAGGTTAAGACTGCAGTGAACCATGATGGTGCCACTGTACTCCAGTGTAGGCAACAGAATGAGGCTCCCAACTCAAAAAAAAAAGAGAAAAAAAGGTAAGAAGAGCTTTGGAGCAAATGGGCATGCCTGAAGGGAATTGAGAGGGTGAACTAGGTCCCAAGAGAAGAAGGGAGGCAGCTGTTTAAAGCACTGAATACAGTTGAACTTTTGATTGTTTCCCAAGATGCTACAGAACACAGTTGCTCGATAGGACACCGTACTGCCTTCGTATAAAGTACTACGAGAAGAGTCAGGTGATTGTGTACTTGGGGGTAAGACTTCTTTTAAAGCAGGATGATATACTGCACAAGACCCACACTGATTGTCTCTGGGGAGGGGAGTGTGTGACTGGGAACAGGTAGGAGGGACACTGTATATCATATACTTTTCTATAAATAGACATTTATTTTTGTTTTAGATCTACAGAAAAGTTACAAAGATAGTATAGAGAGTTTCCATATGCACCATACCCAGTTTCTGCTATTACATTAGTACACAGCTAATGAGCCAACATTGGTACCTTACTAACTAGAGCCTATACTTTATTCAGATTTTAGCAGTTTTTGCCTAATATTCTTTCTGTCCCAGGACCTCATCCAGGATGCCACGTGACATTTAGTTGTTATGTCTCCTTAGGCTCCTCTTGGCTGTGAGCGTTTCTTTTACTTCTCTTGTATTTTATTAACTCGACAGTTTTGTGTACCAGACAGGTTTTTTGCAGAATTTCCCTGGTTTTTCCCTGATGTTTTTCTCCTGAGTTGACTGGGATGAGGGGTTCTCAGGAGAAGGACCATGGAGGCAAAGTGCCATGTCCACCACTGTCCTCTTTTGCCATTTTCAACAATCATGCTTTATACATGTGCTCCCTGCTGATACCAAAAGAATGTGTCATTATCACCCATTTAAAAAAACCAAAAATTTAAGTTTAAAAAATAAAGCAGAAACTAGACCGGGTGCAGTGGCTGACACCTGTAGTCCCAGCACTTTGGGAGGCTGAGACGAACGGATTGCCTGAGCCCACGGGTTCGAGACCAGCCTAGGCAACATGGCAAGACCTCGTCTCTACAATAAATCAAAAAATTAGCCAGGCATGGATGGTGGTGCGTGCCTGTAGTCCCAGCTACTTGGAAGACTGAGACAGAAGGATGGCCTGAACCCGGCAGGCGAGGCTCCAGTAACTGTGATTGTGCTATTGTACTCCAGCCTGGGCAACAGAGTGAGAGTCCAACTTAAAAAAGAAAAAGAAAAAGAGAAAAAGCAGAAACTAAAAGGATTGCTAAGTTGTTCTCCATAGCTGAAACATGCAGGCTCACACAATCTAGGAGTGAAGGGACCACAGGGAACTGCTCTACAGGGGAGGAGGCCGACCCTAAGAGGCCACTGCTTATGCAGCATCATAGAGTCAGCTAGTGACCAAGGTGGAACTGGAACCGATATTCCCAGAATCTCAGTTCCCTATTCCCTTCTAGCAGACTTTCTCTCAGGCAGGCTCTGTGGATTTCTTCCAGACTAATGTCAGCCCTGACTCTCACCCTGAAACAAGTCCAGGCGTCACCTGGGAAAGGGTGTCCTCTCCTGGACCTGCCATGGTCCATCTTGAGACTTGGTCAGGTCACCACTGCTTCTGTGGTCAGGGACACAATGTCTGCCCCACTGGGATACAGGCATGGCTTGTCTTTCAGGAGCAAACGGAAGTGGAATGATTTGGAAACATCCCCATATCCCTGCTGATCCTGCCAGGCTCCATTGGTTACCAGACCTCGGGGCATCTCTAGGCCAGGAGTGGCCCCTGGCAGGGCTGCCCACCTGCCCCAAGATGGCTGGTCCCCTCCCCTTGGAGCCCTGCTGTGGCTTGCCTGACCTCTGACCCTCCTCCCCGCTCACATTCTTTCCACTTTCTTCCAGGCCTCCCAGCTGACACCCTGCAAGGTCACCGGGACCGCTTCATGGAGCAGTTCACGAAGTAAGTGGCTCAAGGGACAGGAATGAAGGAGAATCAAAGACGGCTATAAAATCAGCTAAGCCATGCAAGGGCACTTGCCTTAAATTACTCGAGGTCTGAAGTTGTCCACATTTTAATGCAGTAAAGTGACAGAAAATATCTAGGATAGAGGCAGCCTCCCATTACTGGGGAAGTTATCTGTTCTCTAGTAAATCCCCTGGACGCATTTAAAGAAAGAGATTTCCTCCATTCATTAATCGCCTGCCTTATGCCCAGACTTGATCTTCTCTTTTCCTCTCTCTAAGTTCTGGTCTTATAGCATTTACATGCTGACAACTTGGTTTTGTTTTTTTTTTTTTTTTGCTTTTTGTTTTGTTTTTGAGTTGGGTTCTCACTGTCGCTCAGGGTGGAGTGCAGTGGCACAATCATACTTTACTGCAGCCTTGACTTGGGCTCAGGTGATCCTTCCGCCTCAGCCTCCCAAGTAGCAGGAACCACAGGTACACATCACTACACCCAGCTAGTTTTTAAATATTTTGTGGAGATGAGGTCTCACCATGTTGCTCAGGCTGGTGTCGAACTCCTGGGCTCAAGCAATCCTCCCGCCTCAGCCTCCCAAAGTGCTGGGATTACAGGCATGAGCCACCACACACGGCATATGCTGACAGCTTCTAAATATGTATCTCTGTCCAAACCTTACTTCTGATTTCCAGTCTCACATGCCCAATTTGACATCTATATACTAGACTTAAATCTCAAACTGAACTCCAAGTTTTCCCAAAAAAACACATTTCTAACCACAGTCTTTTCTTTTCTTTGTTTTTATTTCGAGTTGGACTCTCACTCTGTCGCCCATGCTGAAGGGCAGTGGCACACTCACGGCCACCCCAGTGGCGTCAACCCGCTCTGGCAATCCTTCCACCTCAGCCTTCCAAACAGCTGAAACTATAGGCACACGCTACCATGCCCAGCTAATTTTTGATTTATTGTAGAGATGAGGTCTCACCAA